TGATCACTTTCTTGAGACAAATTAAGTAAGAGGTTTTGCTCCTTGTCCTCTGCATTCATAGATGCACACGACACTATTGGTGATTAATTACTTGTAATGAACTTTATTATGGCGATGATCACGTGTGGTTTTATAGAATAACTTGAGTATAAGGTATGACTGGTTGTTAAGTCTCAGGGATGGGTATATATTGGACTAAATAGGTAGTATGCTTTTTCATTATGTGATGCGGAAATAATTTGCATATAAACGAGGATAAAGCAACATATGACAAGGGAACATTAACAACCGAAGATTTCTTGTGCCTTCTGCTGATTGTCCAAGATGTATCTGGTGACCTACATGTCTGTCTTGATGTTTGTACATACATATGTGGTGGATAACTTTATTTGACTAGCATACCCAAGGTCAAAAAGTGGAACTTCACTTTTGCTCTGTGCCCCCCATCCCGATTCTTAACTTAAGTGGTTCACAAATGTAAAGTTAACTCGGTATAAGGCACACAACATGATGGTGACAGAAAGGCGATCAAATGATGAACATCACACTCACAACGTTATGTGTTTCTAGGAAGCTTCTTTCATATATAATCTAAGCAAAGTACTTCTCTTGGCACTGACTGACACAAGCGTCAACTGATTAGCCATACGAGTAGAATGGAAAATGACTAATTTTAAAAAAGCAATGGAGTTAGAGAGAAGGCAACCAAATAGCCGTAGTGCTAGTACTTGACGACGTAGATGCATGTGCTTTCTCTTAACTGTGCCCCCGCGTGCGCCTGATTCTTATCTCCCCCTTCAAAGAAAACAAATGACATTCTAGATGTGTCTTAAGTAAAAAAAAACTCAAGCATTACTGCTATCTCTTGAGAATGCGTTGGTTTCCCATTGAAAAGGAAAGAGTGATGCAGAAAAGTAGCGTAAGTATTTCTCTCAGTTTTTGAGAACCAAGATATCAATCCAGTAGGAGACAATGCACAAATCACCTAGTACTTGCACAAACAATTAAGAACCTCGCAACCAACGTGATAACAGGGGTTGTCAATCCCTTCATCGTCACTCGCAAAAGTGAGATCTGATAGAGATAGTAAAGTAAATATTTTTGGTATTTTTGTTGTATAGATTGAAAGGAAAAGATTGCAAAATAGTAAACGAGATGCGATGTAAATAAAGGAGATGCAATATACTAAGAAAGAGACCCGGGGACCATAGGTTTCACTAGTGGCTTCTCTCAAGATAGCATGTATTACGGTGGGTGAACAAATTACTGCCGAGCAATTGATAGAAAAGTGCATAGTTATGAGAATATCTAGGCAATGATCATGAATCTAGGCATCACGTCCGTGTCAAGTAGATCGAAACGATTCTGCATCTACTATTATTACTTCACACATCGACCGCTATCCAGCATGCATCTAGAGTATTAAGTTCATAAGAACAGAGTAACGCATTAAGCAAGTAGAGGGATAAACTCAAGCAATATGATATAAACCCCATCTTTTTATCCTCGATGGCAACAATACAATACGTGCATTGCTACCCCTACTGTCACTGGGAAAGGGCACCGCAAGATTGAACCCAAAGCTAAGCACTTCTCCCATTGCAAGAAAGATCAATCTAGTAGGCCAAACTAAACCGATAATTCGAAGAGACTTGCAAAGATATCAAATCATGCATATAAGAATTCAGAGAAGAACCAAATAATATTCATAGATAATCTTGTTCATAGACCCACAATTCATCGGATCTCGGCAAACACACCGCAAAAGAGCGTTACATCGAATAGATCTCCAAGAACATCGAGGAGAACATTGTATTGAGAATCAAAGAGAGAGAGAGAGAGAGAGAGAGAGAGAGAGAGAGAGAAGAAGTCATCTAGCTAATAACTATGGACCCGAAGGTCTGTGATAAACTACTCACGCTTCATCGGAGAGGCTATGGTGTTGATGTAGAAGCCCTCTGTGATCGATTCCCCCTCTGGCAGATCGCCGGAAAAGGCCCCAAGATGGGATCTCACGGGTATAGAAGGTTGCAGCGGTGGAAAAGTGGTTTTGTGGCTCTCTGTGATCGATCTAGGGTATAAGAGTATATATAGGCGGAAGAAGTACGTCGGTGGAGCTACGTGGGGCCCACGAGGGTGGGGGCACGCCTACCCGCCCCCCCTGGGCACACCCTCCTGCCTCGTGGCAGCCTCACGGAGTTCCAGACTTCAAGTCCAAGTCTTGTGGTTTGCTTTCGATCCAAGAAAGATTATCGCGAAGGTTTCATTCCGTTTGGTATTCCTTTTCTGCGAAACTCTAAAATAGGCAAAAAAAAAGAAACTGGCATTGGGCCTCCAGTTAATAGGTTAATCCCAAAAATAATATTAAAAAGCATATTAAAGCCCATTAAACATCCAAAACAGATAATATAATAGCATGGAACAATCAAAAACTATAGATACGTTGGAGACGTATCAAGCATCCCCAAGCTTAATTCTTGCTCGTCCTCGAGTAGGTAAATGATAAAAATGGAATTTTTGATGTGGAATGCTACCTAACATAATTACCAATGTAATTTTCTTTATTTTGGCATGAATGTTCAGATCCGAAAGATTCAGGACAAAAGTTTAATATTGACATAAAAATAATAATACTTCAAGCATACTAATAAAGTAATCATGTCTTCTCAAAATAACATGGCCAAAGAAAGCTATCCCTACAAAATCATATAGTCTGGCTATGCTCTATCTTCATCACATAAAATATTTAAATCATCCACAACCCCGATGACAAGCCAAGCGATTGTTTCATACTTTTGATGTTCTCAAACTATTTCAATCTTCACACAATACATGAGCGTGAACCATGGATATAGCACTATAGGTGGAATAGATTGGTGGTTGTGGAGAAGACAAAAAGGAGAAGATAGTCTCACATCAACTAGGCGTATCAACGGGCTATGGAGATGCCCATCAATAGATATCAATGTGAGTGGGTCGGGATTGCCATGCAACAGGTGCACTAGAGCTATAAGTGTATGAAAGCTAAAAAAGAAACTAAGTGGGTGTGCATCCAACTCGCTTGCTCACAAAGACCTAGGGCATTTTGAGGAAGCCCATCATTGGAATATACAATCCAAGTTCTATAATTAAAAATTCCCACTAGTATATGAAAGTGACAAAATAGGAGACTCTCTATCATGACGATCATGCTACTTTGAAGCACACGTGTGGAAAAAGGATAGTAGCATTGTCCCTTCTCTCTTTTCTCTCATTTTTATTATTCTTTTTATTTGGGCCTTTCTCTTTTTTATGGCCTAGTTTTTTCTCTTTTTTTCGTCTGGAGTCTCATCCCGACTTGTGGGAGGAACATAGTCTCCATCATCCTTTCCTCACTGGGACAATGCTCTAATAATGATGATCATCACACTTTTATTTACTTACAACTCAAGAATTACAACTCGATACTTAGAACAAAATATGACTCTATGTGAATGCCTCTGGCGTTGTACCGGGATGTGCAATGAATCAAGAGTGACATGTATGGAAAATTATGAACGGTGGCTTTGCCACAAATACGATGTCAACTACATGATCATGCAAAGCAATATGACAATGATGAAACGTGTCATAATAAAAGGAACGATGGAAAGTTGCATGGAAATATATCTCGGAATGACTATGGAATGCCATAATAGGTAGGTATGGTGGCTGTTTTGAGAAAGGTATATGGTGGGTTTATGGTACCGGCGAAAGTTGCACGGTACTAGAGAGGTAGCAATGGTGGA